TGTCATGGAAGCATTAAGGTTCTTTCATGGTGGTTGTATTTTAAAAACTCGTGGCTTAATACCTCTGCCAGCTGCAAGACGACAGTGTGATCCATGTTCAGTTCCGCTGGTACAGACTGGATCAGATATGTTCCACCAACGGGGATAATCCCAAAGCCATTCCCCAAGACCTTCAGTTTCTTGATTGCACGAAGGAGATCATCCCTGAGAAGCAAGAGGTCAATGCAAGGTTTTAAAGCGGGAGCCTCTCTCAAACTGCACACTACATTCTCTAAATGAGGAAGACTCGACGTGCAGAAGCTATGAGCAATAACAGCTTGGAGCTTGCTGCAGTTTCAGGTAATCAACAGCTGAAAAAAAATTTATAAAGCAATTTAGAACTAGTTCGCAATATCTATGTCCCCCTTCAGAAGGGCAGACCTGCATTAGAGAGACACTTGTAGCACCTGAGCTGCAAATGCCAAACTTTAAGGTTCAGCCCCAATCAGTGATCACAGTGAGCTCTGTCCTAAAATCTGCTTCTGTAATGACACTTACCAGTTCCTTCCTTGCAGCTCAGGAGACCACAGCAGCTTCAGCAGACTGTGGCAGTAGGAGAGCTGGATTTGCAGGGGACTAATTGTCGCCAGCTCAAAGCAACAGTACTTTATGCCTTAGGGTTCCCAGAGAAAGCACGCTGCTTTCTGAAGTCATTAATTGTGGAGCATGTGTAAGCAGCTCCACAGCTAGAAGTCAAATTTTGGGTCCAATTAACAGCAGCACCTTCAAGTCACCCCCTTTTCTTCCCCGAATGCTACTTTATTCCCCTTTCCTGGAATACAGACACTCACTGGCTGACATCCTGAGCAAACTTCCCCCTTCCCTTCAGCACTTGCTGGTGAAGTTCTTCCAGTGTTATCAGACCTAGAAGTCAACAAAAGGGGACAGGAAAGCATTACTGCATAGCAACAAAATTACTCCAGCAAGAGCAGTCAAGGGTCCTTTGTGCATTTGCCACTAGCTCCCCCCTGCCTTCCATTTTACAAGCGGCTGTTCATTGTTCCCAGTATCAAGCCTTGGGTGAGATAAGCACCCAGTCACTTCTGTTCCCAGAACTAACACACAGCAGTCAGCTGTTGCCTTCTCCCACAAACGTATCGGACTCAAGTTTCAACTGGCTTTGCTGTAGCACGTTCCTGGTCTCACAGTGCCCTTTTGGAGCAAAGAACTACCTTTTCATTAGGCACTAACCACTGGTATTCCAACTCTTCTGGATATTGCTGTGAACCTTTAGAGACAATCTTACTGCCAGGCTCAAAGCAGTGACTTAGCAGTTTCGTACTCCTTCAAGATTGTCATCGATCCCTGCTCCTTCCCCACGATACCGTGAGTTATAGTTTTGTTACCTAAACGGGGCAGAGTTGGTTGATTTCTGCAGAAATCAATAAAGCTGGGTGATTGCCCCTGGGGAGTAGCTGTAACACTGCAGAAACAAAACAAGGCTTTTTGGGGGTGATGAAGACAAAACTGCCATCTTGGTATTTTCGTGAAATCTACTAAAGAACATTACACTGAGTGACGTGACTCATTTTCCGCAGGGAAAAGGTATCCTCCTGCTCTATTTCTTTCCCCTAGAAACCAGACACAGTGGGATCCTTACCTCCGTTCCTGTGTTTCAGAGCCAGGCACACTTCGATGATCTGCACACCCAGTTCATAGTAAAAGTCTCCAACTCCCAGCATCTCTGACCAGAATCCTTTACCGGCTGTGAAGTGAGAAAGGGGAAAACAATTGGACCATTGGCAAAAATATCCTTCCTTTGGAGTTACTGGTGCCAAGCAGGCTGCTTGCAAACCTTGCTGTGAGGACTCTTAGATCTGTCAATGAAGACTCTCCATTTTGGTTATCTCCACCTGTTTTTCCCCACCGTTTTAAGCAAATAACACCCAACAGTATGTTACACCAATTCACAAGCCCCAGGAATCACACCACCATCAGCTTTCCTCAAGGACAACTTCCACCAGCTTCACTGCGAGCTGTTTACAGTACGGGAACAGCGAGATGAATCCTTAGTCATTAACCCCAGTGCCTGTTCCTCACATGCCAAAGGATCCACTCCGATTGTGGCACACATGTCCTGGAACTGGACCCGGAACTCGGGGTTTTTACGGATCTCTTGCTTGTGTTTGCTGGCAAACTCTTCTAAGTTGGTCTTAAACATGTCCAGCTGTTTAGACATCTGAAAGAGAATTGCAGAGCAGCGTTTCTGTCTTAACACTTATTTAATGCAGTTTTCTGTAAACACAGCACCCAACAGGCACTACGTAAGCAGAGTCCTCAAGAAACATGGGCTGCCTACCCAGTGCTGATGGCCCCAGTGGTTTTACAGGAAGGAAACAAGATAAAATGGCTCAATGGAATGAGAGTTCTCCACATGTACGCTTTTAACACTGAATACAAACTAGTATCAGTGGAGATAAAACAAGGCAAAGGGCTGTTCTGAACCAAAAGATGGGCTCAGAAGAGGGGCAGCAGGTATTCTGAGATGTCCGTGGGGCAGAAACAATTCTACAGAGAGCAGATGTTGCTGAGGTCCTGAGAAGGGAGGCAGAGCGAGACCTGTAGCAAACATCACAGCTCTCTGATGGAAAGGCAGCCTAAGGGGCTGCTCGTGGATAATGCTCCAAATGCTGAAGCAGAGGGGAAAACAAAGCCCATGTTTGCAGCTGAGCTCACAACCAGGGTTCTTCCCGCTGCCAGGGCAGGGGTGGGTCTCCCACCTGAGCCAGCTGGTCTTCGGCCAGGACCGTCCCTCGCTCCTTGTACTTTGCCTGCAAGAGGAAAACGGGATGATGGAGACAGTGTTGAAGGACAGATGGACCAGAAACCAAAACTGGACGGGGGAAACGCTCCTTAAAGATGGATGAACCAGGAGGACGCGCAGCCTGGTGCCCTGGGCAAGCAGGGAGGCTGTCAGTATGCTCAGGGCACTGTGGGCTTGGAGCAGGGCTGGCACCGGCTGGGATGGCAGATGTGAGGACAGGGATGGCCCCACTCAGAGCCTGGCACCCCCCACCACAGGGCCAAAGCGTCTGCCCCCTGCCCCGAGACCAATGGACCCTGGAGCTCCCCACCCGAGACCGGTGGGGTGGCACCCCTCGGGGGCCTGACAATCTCCCCCAGGGGCCACGGGGTCCTGGCACCTCTCACACGGGCCCGGGACCTCCC